AAAACAGGAACAAGCCTCCTGGAAGGGTAAGGCTCTGGGGACAGAGTTCAAGGATTCCTGCCCCCGAAGGAAAAACAGGAGCAAGCCTCCTAGAAGGGTAAGGCCCTGGGGACAGAGTTCAAGGCCCTGGGGACAGAGTTCAAGGACTTCTGTCCCCAAAGGAAAAACTGGAGCAAGCCTCCTGGAAGGGTAAGGCCCTGGGGACAGAGTTCAAGGACTCCTGCCCCCGAAGGAAAAACTGGAGCAAGCCTCCTAGAAGGGTAAGGTCCTGGGGATAAAGTTCAAGGACTTTTGCCCCCGAAGGAAAAACTGGGCAAGCCCTCTGGGAGGGTAAGACCCTGGATGTAGAGTTCAAAGACTCATACCTCGAAATAAAGAGTACGAATAAACTTTCACGATGGGCAAGCCCCCGCGGATACGTACGGTCTCTAGCAATGATGAAGCTAAACCAATCGGGCGGACCGACAGAATAACTCCCTAGGTGTCGGGGATATCAAGGTCGTTAAAAAGAAAAAAAGAGAAGAGGATGCACGAAAGAAAATGCAAGAACAAATAAAAAAGCTTCATTTCAAAAGAGGGGTTTTGCGTCCCAAAAAGCTACAAAAAGAAGAAAAGGAGTACAGTTCAAAAAAAAAATCTTTATCTGGGCCCAGGTATCTCCAACACATCGTTGCAGGGCGAATCAGCGCAAAAGGGTTGAGTAGCTTCAGGAGCAGGCAGAGTTGGGAGTGAATAGGCAACAGGGAGAATTTGAGGGATATTATGGTCAGGGGCTTGGTCCGACAAAAACTCGTCAGATAAATCCAAAATTACCACCCCGGGCGGATCTGTCAAAACTTGCATCGACGTTGGAGTCGCACCCTCGGCAGCAATCTCGGCCTCGGCTTGCTCCATCTCCGCCGATGGCACGTATTTGTGCATCTGAAAGAGCGGGGAGTCTAGAGGGATCCCAGCAGACCGGAGCGCCTCGTCCCACCCCTTCTTGAAAAACTCCTTGCTATTTTACTCAAGAGTAGGTAGCATGTCGTCGACAAACTCCTCTCGGAGTTGTTCCTTGGACTTCCTGTTCTCTGCCTCAGCCCTGATCCTATCTAGCTCTTGGGTCAGAGCCAAACAGCTCTCCTCTAAACCGACAGCCCTCTCCTCTGCCGTAGAGAGCCGCTGCGTCTGCTCTGTAATCCTCCTCTCAGTGTCGGCCAAGGCATCACTTAGCTTTTCAGCGCCGACCTTCGCCAATTTGCCGTCCTTAAGGATTTGCTCAATCTGAGCAGCCTGTCCCGCGAGAGTGGAATCCTTGGCAACTATGTCCTCCTTGGCACTGGCCAGGGCTCCCTCGGTCTCTTCCTTCTGCTCTTGAACCCGCTGGAGGTCTATCCTAGCTACATGATACCGCGCAGTGATTATGGAAATCTATTAGGTGGCCTGCAAAGAAAAGGCTTGTCAATAAAAAGTAACACGACTAGAAAAGACTAAAGCAAAGATGAACTTACTACCAGGGAATTCTAAATGATAGAACGAAACAATGCATTCGTTGATTGCCCCCTGTGAGCCACATATTAGCCTCGAAGTGCAGCGTTTCACTCACTGCGTTGGCAACATGGGGGTCCTGCAAAATAGAGTCATCAACCCTGATCACTCATGTGATCAGTGGCCTGAGGGTTCCACTCTGCGGCTTCCACCGTCTGTGGAGGGGGAGGTGGAGTCTACCTTTGTTGCTGTTGCTGTTGTTGTTGCCTCTGTTGTTACTGTTGCTGCTGGGGAGGAGGAGGTAACTCACGGCCTCTCCCACTTTGCTGCTGAGCGGAGGGGGCCCTGGATCCCCTGCCAAGGTCGTCGTGCCTTTGTTTGACCCTTCTCTCCTCCTCTACCTGAGGATCTCGGTCACGCACTTGACCCCGACCAACGACTCTTGAAGGTGGAGTGGCGCTGGTCCCTGTAGATGGGGCCCCGCTGGTTGATCCTCGTCCCCTTCCGGCAGTGAGGGCCTACCTCTGCCTCAGGAATCCCAGATTTATGTGAGACGTGTTTGACATGGCTACCTCGAGGGCGTCCTTCTCGTCTAGTGACTGCAGGATTTGGAAGTCAGGCTACGAATCTCTCCCCGAAGTCCCCACTTCGACGTGCGAAGGAACAAAAGTCTCCCTGGCCCCGAACTCCTCAACTTCAACAACACCCTCTACTTCGACCTCTATAGCTCGATCGCGGTCTTCCTCCAAATTTTCCTCGACCTCTTGTTGTGCATCCTGATCGAAGAGTTCAGACCACCGCGAAGGCTCGAGAGGCTGGGGGAGCTGTGAGAACTTTTTATATCTGGGAGTGTAGTTCAGAAGAATGTGAGCAGTCCCGTCGAATCTGTCGTCGCCAACAAATCTCCAAACAGTGACAAGGTCGGTAAAGTTTACCAAGGACCAAAGTGGAGGAGCTGTTTCCCGAGCGGAGACATCTACACAAAAAGAAAAAAAGAGAGAGGAGAGGGAGTTATGAACACTTCTAAAAAATCTCAAGAACAAAATAATAGACTCGAAGAAGCCGACGTACTTGTCGTTCTCCATTCGAAAGGGCATAACAGACCGTCGTATTCGGGACCGACACCCCTCTGCCAGGACCCCTTGAAGATCAGTAGGTCATCCTTGTACCCCTTGTCCGAGTCAGGAAGGTGAGTTACAAGGTACATGGATAGGTCCCTGGGTTTGAGGTAGAAGTTTTGTTGAGGCATGACCCTCAAGAGGGAGTAGCAAAAGAGGATATCGTTCAACCCAACATTTACCCCGAGACGCTTGTTGAGCTTTAAGACTCCTGTTATTATTCTGAAGACATTGAGGCAACACTGCCTAGGGAAGAGGTGGAAATGGGAGAGGAACTGGAGAAGTAGAGGGGGCAGAGGGAATCTAATTCTACCCTCTATGATGGCTTTGGTATAAAAGGGCATCTCATCCTCGGGCCCGAGGGTACGAGAATGCATAACTGAGTTATAATCCTCTATGTCTACATATGGGGGGATACGATACTGGACCCTATTAATCTGCTCGCCCCCTTCATTTTGTACTTTCCTGGCCTCGAGGAACTAGCCTGAGGATTCTCAGGGGTAGGGCGACATCGGGGCATCTCCAAAAATATTGAGGAAAAAGGGAGGGGTTTTTCCACGAAGATCCCCGAGGAGGCTTCCCGAGGGTTGGTCATAGAATGGCAACCAGAAACACCTCCGGTTATCGAAAAATCAAAAAAAATAAAAACAGCGAGAAGAAGAAAAGAAGAGACAAAAGGGCGAAGAGAGGGAAGATACAAGGACTCACCAGAACGTAAACGGAAGTTTTTCTTGAAAACTTGAAATGATTCCTTCCCCTAGGATGTTCAAAAGCAAGAATGGGTCTGCTGGCCTTGAGACTCCGGTGAAAGATTGAGCAGTAGACAATGAAAGGAAAGGGATCTCCGACGAGGTTTCAAGCAAGGGCTCTCTGAAGAAGTTTGAAATGGCGAAATGAGAGAGGGAGAAAGGAAGCCTATTTATATAGTACCCATCCCCATCATTTGGGCACGAAGTACGAAAAGACGCATTTAATGCGCACGACCTCCTAAGCAGGGGAAAGCGGGTAGAGGCAATGATAAAGTAGTTGGGGTAGTTGCAAAACCCTTCATCTCCTTACGACGCGTGTCCTCGGTGTCAGGAGATCGAAGGCTGGGGGACAGTTGATGGGATATTTTCAAATACTCCAAGATGAAGACACGTGTCATCGGCATCAGTATATTCTTGTTACTGTGATCACGACACGTACTCGTCGGTTCACAAGTCACTCTTCCCCCGAGGTACTGTTCATAGGGATCAATGACACCTAGTACGTTACGTACCGACACGTATCCCTCGGTCGGATATAGGGTACATCGGTCCCTACATGTACCACTTCCTCGGTACCGAGATGTATCTGTCCAGGTTAGCGTTTTTTGCTCCTGTAGAGGCTATTGATGTACAGGTTACTAGCCTAGGCTAGGCTAGGTTAGCCATCATGACCTTGTATTACACAATTGATGTCAGAAGGCACAAGAAGGCAGAATACACAATCAATGGGGAATGAGCGCGTGGCATATTGTGTCAAATCAGAGACAAAAAGAACGAAATACCCTTGCTGACACACGACTTGAGAAAACAAGCATTTAGTGCAACATTCCCTTGATGAGACATCATTTAATGCAAGAAGGCTCGGAAGTGAAAGGTAATAAATGTCCTTATAACTGGACATTTATTACATCCTTGCCGAGAGAAGCTCATTAAACATTCGGTAGGCCGATGATGAAGCATTGGTTGCTCAAGGTCCCGAGCAGTTAAGAGAGAAGACATTCCTCAGAGGAATCAGTGCGCACGTTGCCCGTATTTAATGATCACCTACTGACTACACTGACAGCAATCATGAATTTTTAAGGTATAAATACTCCTCATAAAAGACAAGATGGTATGCAACAAAAAACTTTTTCTCAAAGAAATACACAGTGTTTTTTCTTTCCCCTCTCTCAAAGAACTGACTTGATCGTCGGAGGGGATACGCCGGAAAACACTCCGACACCCACCTAACTCATTTTTCTCTATTCCAGGAACCTCTCTCAGCCTTACTGGACTGCTCCGTTGATCCACGAAAGTCACCCATTATCGTTCCAGGCCACCACCGGACCTCACAGTCTATACCAAGCAACAAAGTTGACCATTCGATTGATTGACTCGAGTTTACCATGAAAGAGATCTGTTCTCGTGTTTATATTGTGCAAGATCCTGCAAGCCCATTAACCATGGTTAGGTTTCCGGCTGGCCACACAACAACTCTATTTAAGCACTCTCTTACTCTTCTTCTCCTCGCTCCACACTTCCACCACCTCACAAGTTCTTCTGTTCTCTTTCAGTGACTCTCTACTTTCTCTTTCTCTCTCAAGATCATCACCCTTTTGTTTTACTCCATTTTTGAGCTGCCCATCATCAGAAAACCGCTTTCTTTATACGTCAAAAATACCCCAAAATGTCGTCAGAATACTACACTATCTTCCTTCCTCAAACTGGGTGCTCCTCATCAGTGTTCAGCTTTGAGCTTTTCCTCTTTGCCAGTCTCTTCGTTGCCATCTTTGCTTTTGGGGTCTTCCCAGGAGGGCTTGCTTGGGCTCTAAGACAGCAATTCCCGGACCTTCTGGCCTACCTGTTCTGGGCCTAGTCTTTGCTTTCACTGGTTCTCTGACTCACAGAGTTCTCGACAAGATCTCTCAGAGCTTCAAGGCCGCACAGTTGATGGCGTTCTCTATTGGGCTCACTCGTTTTATCATTTCGAGCAACCCCGAGACAGCCAAAGAAATTTTGAGTAGCTCTGCTTTTGCTGATAGGCCTGTGAAAGAGTCTGCATATGAGCTTCTGTTCCACCGAGCAATGGGTTTTAATCCTTATGGAGAGTACTGGAGGAACTTGAGAAGAATTTCAGCCAATCATCTGTTCAGTCCTAAAAGAATTGCTTCCTTCGGACAGTTTAGGAGAATGATTGGGATCGAAATGATTAAAGAAATCATGGGTTCCATGGAGAAAAATGGTGAGGTTGAGGTGAAAAGGGTTTTGCACTTGGGGTCTTTGAACAATGTAATGATGAGTGTTTTTGGTAAATGCTATGACTTCAGTGAAAATGAAGATGGCTCTGAGCTAGAGGGTTTGGTGAGTGAAGGGTATAAGTTGCTGGGGATATTCAACTGGAGTGACCATTTTCCTGTCATGGGATGGCTGGATTTGCAAGGAGTGAGAACGAGGTGCAGAGAGTTGGTGGCTAGGGTGAATGTTTTCGTGGAGAAGATTATAGCGGAGCATAGGTTAAAGAGAACTGAGAATGAAGGAGTTGTGGATGAGAGCTCTGGTGATTTTGTGGACGTCTTGCTTGATTTGGAGAAAGAGAACAGGCTTAGTGACTCTGACATGATTGCAGTGCTATGGGTACTTTTCTTATTCTCTTCCTTTGCCGAATCATATTCTTTTGCTAGGATAAAACACACACACACACACAATTGTTTTCCCAGATATTCTTAGATTCTCTCATATCCTAACTTGGAATTCTGATTTATTATGTTAACCAGGATATTACTGTCGAGTCTTCCGTTTGGTTTTTTAGTTGCTTTGGTCCATGTTGTCGTTGCTTGATCACGTTACATATTTTGTGGTTTTGAACGTTTTTACTGAACTTTTCCTGAGTTCTAATAAACTGTTTTTGTTGGTTCTTTTATCGATACCATTGTATAGATGCTGGAATATAGATATGTATGTACCAAAATAAAAGGAATATAGATCTTTGTATTTTCTCTTTTCCCTTATCCAAAGATATGGGGAATGGGGAATCTGAATATCTTCAACCTTTTTTTGTCCGATGAGGATGACACTGATATTTTCTTATCTTATGCTCTCTGCTTTTGTTTCTAATGCTTTTCTTATACTGAAAAAGCTTTATTTTCATTTTCTAGATATATTTTCATTACTAAATTTAGTAGATCTTTTTGTGGGTATAATTTATGGAGAAATTAATGGAAGTTCTGTTTGGTTTCAGGAAATGATCTTCAGGGGGACTGATACAGTGGCAATCCTCCTAGAGTGGATTCTTGCAAGAATGGTTTTACACGTAGATATTCAGGCGAAAGCTCAATCTGAAATCGACACTGTTGTTGGAACAACAAGATCTGTATCAGATTCTGACCTGCCCAACCTTCCTTACCTCCAGGCCATAGTGAAGGAAACTCTTAGAATGCACCCACCTGGCCCACTTCTTTCCTGGGCCCGCCTAGCCATCCACGACACTCACGTTGGCGAACACTTTGTACCCGCCGGCACCACCGCTGTGGTGAACATTTGGGCCATAACTCACGACGAGAAAGTCTGGGCGGAGCCAAATGAGTTCAGGCCAGAGAGGTTCATGGAAGAGGATGTTGCGATTATGGGTTCCGACCTTAGGTTGGCACCATTTGGTGCTGGGAGGAGGGTTTGTCCTGGGAAGGCTATAGGGCTAGCAACTGTTCAGCTCTGGTTAGCCCAGCTGCTTCAGAACTTCAAATGGGTTGCTTCTGAGAATGGTGTGGACTTGTCTGAATGCTTGAAGCTCTCCTTGGAGATGAAACGCCTCTTGGTTTACAAAACTGTTCCTAGGGTTTGTTGAAAGTTTGGTCAGCTGGTTTGGTCTCTTCCATGATTTTGAAATATGTTTGTTAGTGGGGAGATCATATATATGCTATTACCTTTAGTTATATTTGTGTTCTGTTTGTTTGAAGAAAATCTATTATTAAGGAACTTGTGGTAGCGTTGACCAGAAAGCTATGGCGGTTCTGTATAAGGGTTTTATTAGGCTCATGTAGACGTGGAGTCTCATGTGTTGTACACAGTTTTTATTGGTCATGCGTCCAAAGCAATAGTTCCAATTAGTATTACTCATTAGTTATTATCTTTAAGTGACGATGCTGGGTCTTTTTAAGTATGTCCTTCCTTCTAATTCTAATTGTATATTTGCTATAATCTGTTCAGGGGCTCTTTCTTTGGTACCAGAACGAGTATTTGGTTGTTGACGTTGTAATTGCAAAATGATATAGTTGTGATGTTTTCATTAAATCACTAGTAAACAGTTGCATGCAACTTAAATCATGTCTTATTCAGTTTGGCGGAGGAAAGTGCATCCTTGGATGTCATAGTTCAAGTTTTTCATCTATATAATAAATAGTTAGAAAACTTTATCCTAAATCTATAAAATAAAATAGTTAGAAAAGTTTATCCTAAATTTTTTATGATTTAGATCGACTAACGATTATTGATTTAACATTCTTTATGCGAAATTTTTCTATTATTTCATCTAACTCTTTCTTTATGTTATATTAACTGATACAGCTCTCTCCCTCTATCTTATACTCTCTCTCCCTCTATTTTATACTCTCTCTAATATCTCTCACACGTTTTAAACACCCTTTATCTTATACTCTCTCTCCCTCTATCTTATACTCTCTCTAATATCTCTCACATGTTTTAAACACGCACTATCATCTCTCATGTAACTCTCTCTTAGACAACTATATATATATACTAATAATGACTTGTGTCTGAAGGCACTAAGCAACTAAAAAACTTTGATCACCGATAATGCAATATAAATATTTCAAACAATACTTTATTTTTTTATTATTTTCTTTAGTTACACAATTCAAAATTAATTTGAAAATACTATTTTTTTTAAAAAATTGACAAAACTTCTTTAAAAACACGACCCCTAAAAAAATCAATATATACACAATTTATATATTTAATCATTATACATAAAAAAATATTTTTTTTTGTACGAGTCGATATTGACATGTGTTTGTTGGTGGTTGTATAGAGACAGAGAGTTATATGAGAGATATGATAAACTTATGAGATATGAGAATATGATATATATAGAGAGAGATTAGAGTATTAATGGGTATTATATGTATTATGTTACTATTATATATATATATATATATATATATATATATATAGTCGTCCAAGCCAAACTCTCAGAAGATAGAGTTATATGAGAGATGAGACTGTGTGAAAAAGAAAGAGATGTAAAATAAATAAAAATTCAATTAGGATCATATAGATATAGATATATAGATATAGGATGACATACATGGGCAGAACTACACTAGGGCGAGGGTGGACACGGGTCCATCCTCAATTTTTTTTTAAAAAATATGATATATATATTCTAAAAGTTATACACATATTTTTTTACTTGTACTTACTCTATAATTTTCTTATTTTAATTATTTAGTCTTTTTTATTATAATAATATGCTTTTCTTCAAATGACATTCATTTTATTATGAATTTTTGCAAGTGAAAGTTCTTTCAATTGATCTTCATTTGATTTTATTTTTTCTACGAAAAATTATCTTTTATTTTTATTCGAATATTGATTATAGTCTTTATTATGTGCCAATCAATTTTTAATTTTTTTACTATGTTTATTAGATTTTAGTTTAATAGTTTTATTATACTAATATTTTAGTGATAATGTTTAAAATATCGTTTATTGAATAAATTTAATAGATTAGTGAATAATTGATATTTTTTTAATTATAAAAATGACAATTAGCTTCACTTTTTACATTGATGATAATTAGTCAATATATATATATATATATATATATATATATATATATATATATATATATATAATATTATTTTTTGGCATTTTTATGTTAAATGGACTTCATGTATCAAATATGATATAATAAATATAAATATATTATACAGTGTTATTGGTTAAGAGTAAAAAAATTAAAGTGTATAATTAAAGTGTCTACCCTAAATAAAATTCTTGACTCCGCTCCAGATGACATATGTTAATGAACTTATAATTTATTAGAAATAATCCTTGTTATATATATATATATGAGAGATGGAAGAGTGTGTGTTTAAAATGTGTAAGAGATAGCAGAGAGAGTATGAGATAGAGAGAGAGAGTTGTATCAGTTAGTATGAGATAGGAAGAGAGAGAGGAGATGAAATAGTGTATTTAAAATGTCTAAGAGATAAGAGAGATAAAGTTATATGAGAGATAGGAGAGGCATGAGACAGGGACCTGTGTTGGGCGGAAAAGAAAAATATAAGACTCTTTGTTGACTGTTAGTTCATAATTTTTGAGATGACCTGAACTTTCTTTTATGTTGAGATTACATTGTCTGTTGGATGTGTTTATGTTTTGTCTCAAAAAGATCTGGACCTTTCTTTATCTCTAAAATTCAAACTTCGTTCTACTTTATTTTATATATATACTAGTCATTGTTCGTGCCTAAAGACACTGTTTTAAAAAAAATTGCTCTTAAAAAGAAATGTATAACAAAAAATACTAATTAATATAGACCAATTATTCAAAAAAAACAATCAATAAAATGCTCATGCATAAAGGCATTGTGTAATAAAAAAAAATCCCCAATTTAAAAAAATGAGAATCCATAAAAAAACTATGCTTACTATGGTAATTGAATTTCATGTTTCATTTAGGTAACACAGTTATATTTACTACGAACATACAAAATTACCAAAAATATAAAAAAAACACTTTATTTGAAAATTGCGTGAATTTGAAAACTTCCAACCCAAGAAGGAGCTCTCATGGCTGTACAATTCACCTCAAAGTCATAGCACGACAAAAAAGAATAAGCTTAGATCTAATGATCCTAGCATGCCTTTCCCTCAACAGCCACGACTATTTTCCCACACAACCCTATGTTTTTTTTTGTAATCCAAATCAAATAGTTAGTAAATCAGTTGATCCAATTTAATACGACAATTAAAATCATATAGAACTATAGAAAATTGACTTAACAATTGATCTAAAATTAATCGAATACATCAGCCTTACTAACCTAGATAATTGAATGTATTAACCCTTGTAAGAGTTATCATGAAAGTCATTATACATGTGTTTAAAAGCCATTGCTATGATCATCAAACAAACTCAAACATATCACCTACCCCAGATACAGGGAAAAGGGTCCAAATCACAATAAAAAAGTATACTAAAAGTGAGGAATCAAAATTTTAAATCCCCTTATTTCACCAATTTTTTGGGCAGGAAAATTGATTTGAAATAGCATACACACAACCTAATTAATGCAACTACAACACTTAAACCAACTAAGAGACATGTGAAGTAATGTAGGGGTAGCTATCTTGCTTTCTTCCACACATTGCAAACAAAACAATGCTAAAAAATTTCAAAGCATTTGAAAATTTTGTTATTAAATTAAAGCTTCACATATATAAGCAAATCAATCACATATTCTATCAACTGAAAAACATAGAAAAAATTGAATCAAGTTTTCTTTACAATTAACAAAACCAAAAGAAAACATAATATGAGACACAAAAATGTAACTTACTTTTGTCCAATATTTTGGCCAACCAAATAGGCACCAATTCAGAACCAAGACATATTAGTGTCATTCATTAGACAAACAAAACAATGCACAAAATTATGAACAACCACTTAAGTCTAAAACAATTGTCTAACAAATTAACTTACCAAGAAGTGATTTATACCAAGCATTCTTCTTACGGCTAGATCCAATCTCCTGGTCCCTGCGGAAAGGAAAAAGAATTTCACACACCAATCAAACAAATCATTGCTTAATTGAAAATATTATTTAACTGCAAACAACTTGCATATAATTATAAAGGCAAAATAACTCAGAGAAATTCTAGTATGGTGAATAGAATTTTAAAGAGAGCAAAATATATGTAATTTCATCTTGGCCAAATATGTGATCATTTTTTTTCCTTAATACTTTCGGAACTGAAAATACATAACTAAATGCAATGACTACATGCACAAATGTGCAAATCTACTCATAATTTATTATGTCCACATAAAGAAAAAGCATTGAGATTGGATATCCTTTACCTTTTTTTAAATGTAGTAACTTCACTTTTTTGAGGACAGGGGAAAAGCCTGCTTGTGTGATTAAATGCCTATTAGCTATAACATATATAAGTTTTTAAGTAGGCATAGCATTATCAAAGATAACATATAAAATTAGTTCAATGAAACCATTCATCAAGGCAAAAGAATAAGAGAATTTCAATATTAAACCATAAATTGCTTTTGAAGTCTGTAGGGTATAAAGAATGGTCCAAATAACATCTATCAGAAGTAGATTTATAAGAGAATTTTACAATGCTGCTCCAAAAAGTAGACGCACATTGCAATACCAAAATCAAAAACACCAGAGGCTAATGAAAAATAAAAAAATAGAGTTTAACATAACCATCAAGAGTTGTGTGGACAAAAGGGAGGCATATCTTAGAAATACAGTAACAAATAAAAAAATGATAACCTGAAGGCACAATGCACCCATAACAGGTGGAGAAGACGTTGGCAGCCATGGCGTCTCATAGAATTAATTATCAATCGAAAGGGCTACTTGTTTTGTGTAGGAAAACAGAAAATTCAAAACATTACTTGTGCTAAAAACAAAACATTTACTTCCAAAAATATGCAATAGATGAAGAAAGGGTCACCATTCACTACAAGAGAAAATGTTTTTTAGCGGCAAAAAAAGTCATCGCTAAAAGTGAATAATTCGCCGCTAAAAGTTTTTTGGGACAAAAAATTTGGTTGTCAATTTGTCACAGTAGGCTCGCCACTGAAAGTTTTTGACGACCAACTAAAGTATCGTCGCTAAAATAGATTATCAGTGACAAAAACCTTAGTCGCTAAACAATTCATCTATTTGTCACAAAAAAATTTTCGTCGCTGAAAGAAATTATATTATTGTCATATTTTTTTGCTTTGGTGATGACATAATATTTTTCATTAAAAATCAAGGTACATTTTTTTGTGACT